GCGCGCGCGTGTGTGGCCGCACACCGGCCGGTCGAGGCTGCCCTTGGTCTGGCCGTGGGCTGGCCGTGGCTTGGCCACTCACTCGCGACCGCTTGCTGCCCAACCGTGAGGCCGCCATGCCCGCGCGCCCTCTCTGCTTCCTAATCGCCTTCGCCACAAAGATTGCCACCGATCTTCGCTGCTACCCTCCATGTCGCTGCATGTCGCGGCGCGTGCGTCGCGATCGCGATCGCTACATTGCTTTGTCGTGTCACTCCCGCACTCACGTCTACTCGCTGCATCGCGCTGTCCCCTCCCTGGCCCTGTTGGGTGCAGTCTGCATGTGGCCGTGCACGCCGTCGTCATGCCATTAATGGCGCCAGTGCGTGGGCCATGGCCGATCGTGGACGCTCGAGCTCATCCGCTCATGCTTGGATGTAGCTCCCTCGGCCATGATAACCATGCCCTGCCAAGGCATGCGCCAGCCGAACCACTGACCGCACCCGCTTCCCTTTTGTTCATGCTATACCTCTGCTTTCCACCACCATCGAGTCGCGGTCATGGTGAGCCAGAGAGCGAGCACCTCTCATTAATTCCTCGTGCCCGCGTCTCCGCCTTTACATACTCTTGCCAACCGCCCCCTCCCCGCCTTGATTGCTGCCAGGCCGAGCTCCAATTTTGGAGCTTTGCTTCCGCCACCACGCCATTAAGGCCCAGTCCGCCTCACCATGGACAGCTTCCACCTCGCCATCTCCAGCCAGACTGACTGCGCCACTAGCCCCATCTAGAACCCTTCATTGCCATGTGCACCTAAGCCGCACTCCTACCACCATCTCTACGCCGCTGACGTGGCCGCGCCACCGAGACCCATCATCGAACTTGCCACACGCACATGGCCAGTCTCGCTCAGGGCATCTCCGGCCGAGCCATTGCCACGGGTAGGTTCGTGGTGAGTCGCTAGTGCTCACCAGTTGTTTCTACCACTTCCAAAAGGCCGTGGCTCACCGGAACTTGGCTGCAGCTACCGTAGGGTGCCCGTCATCATGGAGAAGCCATTCTACTATGTGCCATGTCTCGTCCAACCACTGCCTGAAGTTGCACGTCGTCCCGTAGGTGAGGATCGACCTCCTAGGTGCGTCGGAGGGGATCCCGGTTGGCCGATATGGCTGCCCCGTGCCAGCCGACGCCGCGCGCCACGCCGGTGGTCGTCAGGAACTGGCCGAATGTAAAGATGGGTTAGGGCGAGGGCCTATCGGCATAAGATCCGACTGTAGGAACAGGGCGCAAAGAGTTGCATTAATACTAGAAAAAGCAAGGATGTTTTTGCAAAAGCGCCACACGCGCGGGCTCCCTCCCACCGCGGGCTGGCCTGTGTGCGTGCGAGCGCGCGCCGCGCGCAAATGGGCTACGTCCGCATGGTTGTGGGCCACGCTGGTGAATTCATTTTTCCTTTTATTAGAAAATAGAAATAGCCTTATATTTTAGTTTCTGTGCTAAACATTGATAATTAACAACAATTCATATAGGTGTCCAAAAATCGTGAAACCAATTTTGTTAGGCTCTTAAATTGTTTATCTATCTATTAGTATAATTATTTCATACATATCTATGATGAAACTAAGGTCTATTAAATCAATTGGAAATACTTAATATTATTAGGTTAATAATTGTAGGAATTTTTGTGACAAAATAGTAATAGCTTTAGCTCTAAAAATTTTATGGTAGTTTTCTGGTATTATTATGTGCTCGTTGTAATTTTTGTAGCCTTAGAATAGGCTAAGCTTTAGGGTAGTTAGATACTCCTTGTTTTAATATATGTTAAATCGCTAGTAGAAGCAAGAATATATTTTAGTTGTTAAGTTAATATGTGTTAGATGAATTTGTACCTTGTTTGATGAAAATACTAGTTAGCTTAGTATCTTAGTCATTAGAGTTAGCTTAGTAGATTAGTAGATGTATTCTTATTTTAAGAGCTGCTGTTGCTAAAATACTAAGTATTGCATCATCGTTGCATGCATGTAGAGAATGAGTTAGTGGAGTTCATGATCACTGAAGACTAGGATTACGAGGAGGTGATCGAGGAGTATGAGGAGGAGGTCCTCGAATAGGAGGAAGCCTCAGAGCCACCGACGACTAACATAGCTGACAATCCACCTGCCCAAGGCAAGCCCCGGTGCATAACCCTTATTTTGAATAATCAATGGATATATATATATATATATGATATATATATATATATATGTTATAGGATTTATATTGAAACTACATGCATAGATAAACCTACCTATGAGTCCTACTAGCATAGGTCGAGTAGCTGCTATGCTTAGGCTATCGGTAGCGTGAGTAACCTGCCATTACTCACAATAGGTGATTATTATTATTACTCTCATGATAAAATGGTGAAAGGAAATGAAGACCGGGCAGGGATATGGTATGGGTATTGGTGGGTGTAAAAGGTTGTGTCCCACGGCCAACGGGGTATAGCTTAGTTACACTTTTTTCCCTGTCCGTGTCAGTTAAGGACCGTCCATTGCTGTGGATGGTAGTCAAGTCACAGACTTATTATCCTAAGCACATACTTGATTATGGGAGCGGAAAGGCTCATTGCTCTCTTGTCGTGGGTTCTGGCTCTTTCTGGACTGACTGATTGGAGGCAGGGATGGTGGAGGTCTAAGCACCACACTGAGTCCGGGACTTAGGAGTGGGGGCTTGGAGTCCAAGTTTGGACGGGGACCTGGACCCCTTGGCAGGAGAGTGGTGGGTTGGTCTTGCTTGTGCCTGTGGTACAAGCGGGGCATGTGTTTCAGGGTACCCAGCTGGGATACATTGGTTCGTAAATCATCGTGTGATACGGTACGACTTGGCTATGGTCTAGCATCGTAGTAAGAACTAGAAGATGAAAGGGGACGAATGGATCTGATTGCTCAACTCTTGCTTGAAAGTAGAACAGGTGTTTACATAGAATGGTTAGCTAAAGAACTAATCATGACTGCTAATAAAACACATACATAAGGATTCACTACTGGTAATGCTTTTCACAAAAAGGAAATCTAGCAAACCATAAAGCTTATCATATCCTTTGGAATCGGGAAATTATTCCCACTAGTCGGGTAAGTCTTACGAGTACATTGTGTACTCATGGTTTATTTACCCCTGTTGCAGGTGCAACTCGAGGAGTGGCTGTTGTGTGGAGGATTCTTCTGGTGGGCACAGACTGATCCTTGTATCTTATCGTTAGATGTTTATTTCAATTCCGCTGTTTAAATTCCGCACTCTGAACTTGGTATTGTAATAATGTATTTTGAGAACTCTTGTTGTATGAAATGGACTAAGTATTGTAGACTTATTCTCATTATTGAATTCTAGATGAAAAACATGGATTGTTCGAGTTCTCCCTTGGGATGTGCTCGACAAAACCGCCTGGTGTAGCTTACTTTCAGGGTGCTTAGTGTCTAGTGGAAGACAAGCGCCTCCAAAGGTGTGTTATTTCAGGCGCTTCTGCCACATTACATCTCCAATAACCTTGTAATTCTTGTATGGTCATGCCAATGGTTCATCTTGTGCCAATGCAATACTAACACGCACCATCAAAAATTCTTTGCCTAGCCGAACACCCTCAACTTTCTATGTTGGATCACAACTTACTACTGTAGCAAAGGCAACATCATTGCTTTGGTTTTTCATGCTCTTTCAAAATACTTTTGTGCCAACCTAGTTCACATATAAATTGTGTGAATAAATAAGAACACAATGGAAACATAGTACAAACATTAATTAGACACTCATACCTTCAATGAATTGGCAGCCGAAAAATTTTTAGTACCATGCTGATATTTCTGCAAAATTATATTACATGGAATATTAGTTTGTTGTTACATGAATTGTTAGGAAATAGGAAATAGAAATTCTTTTTGGAAGATGTATCTTATACATTAGCAAGTACAGCTGCACTAGCTCCTGTTGACATCTTCTTATTCTGTGGAGCAGATAAAAAGTCACAGCAAGTTAGCTAATAATTTGAAATTTGCATATAACATCAATATATTGCTAAGAGATTATTTACCTAGAAATAAGATGCTTCATGATTTGAGCAATTGGAAGATATTTCCTGGTCCACAACCTGTAATATATGCTAGTTTGATTACAACACTCTGGTCATCAATTTAATAAAATTCATATAACAAAATAAATGCACTGATCACCTTGGTTGTAGTATACTTGTTTTTGTCCAATCTTATATCATTTTGGTTTGATTGGGCCTATAATAAAATCATAAATAGTAGTCAATCTCTACAAAGTATGTGCTGCTAGAAATAAGTATATGAATTTTTTTCTCGAACAGAAATAAGTATATGAATTAACCTTATGTGCAGCAGAAACTTTATTGGCTTGTACTTTTTTTCATGATGGGCATTAGCTTCCTTGCTCTACAGTTAGATACAACAAATAATAAGAATAGGTGACTTTCATTACTATACAATGGTAATGAAATAAAATTGAATTATTGAATCTAGTATAAATGAATTTGCATGTTATGTCAAGATGTACTAAAATCTCTTTTCTAGAATGACACACAAGTTAGGAGATTCAATGAATTGCTTTTCATCCATGTTAAGTTATGTGCACTAACCTTATATTCAGTAGAATAATATTTGTAGTGTGTCTGCTCAACAGTAGTAGTTTGCTCCCTCTGTAATGGAAAAGAATAACTAAATTTTCTTTACACAAATCTGGTTGGAGAATCATGCCCATTCAATCATATAGTTATACAATTCAATTGATCAACCATGCCAAATTCTTCACTTCGAGGGTCACTATATATTCGCTATTGAGAGACAAAAGATAATACATCAGAACTAATTATTCAAAAAATAATTTTACATAAAAGATTATGTTCTGTTAATGCTCCATAGAGACATACTTTTCGTTTTGAATTTGGCACATCAGTAGAAAAGCCATCTTGCAATGGAACATCTAAACATTCCTGTGACAAGAAATCAAAATTTTAGTACAGAAAATGATTAATGTAGAGGTTCTGTAAATTTACCTGTTGGATATGTCTTTGTTCCAAGATTTTTGTCTTCTGTTGTAATTCTAGTATTGTAGCATCTTGATTTTGGACTTTGACGTCCAAACTTTTCCATTTGAAGTCTTAGAGATACAACATCTTCACTCGATTTGTCATCCAATGAAGTCATATTTATATTCTTAAGGCGCTTTGAAGTTGATAGGTCAAAAACTTGATTTGGATTTGGAACAAGTCCCAAGCCATGCACATGACCAGGCTTCTCTTCTACTAGTACTCTATTTAGTGCATCTCTTCTCCATGCAACCTTTCCTTGATTAGTGTCTGCTAAATCTAGTTGCTGCCCTATGAGTTTCTTCAAATCATCCTGTACATAGCCATAATATGAATCAAATAAATTTGTAAAGGTAGTAGAATAAAAAAAACAAAGTTGAGCATTCATAATTAAATTACCACATGTGCATTCGTGTCCTTCTCACTTTTAGTCTTGTGTGTATGAATATACAAAACAACCCTGTGAGGGTATTTCTTTTCAGGATCTTATTCCTTCTGTTGAACATGAAAATTAATATCAAGGACATGATAATTATTATATCCTATATATGAATGCAGCCAGAGGTGTACACACAATTAGAGTGGCAAGAATATTACCCACTCCTCTCTATTTCGAGCAAAACTCTTTGTTCCAGCAGTATGGGTTGACTTCTTCTTTGTACAGTTTATCCTATTTGCCTCACTTATATCATGTCCCAAAATAACAAAATACAAAGAAAAGCATTTAAGTTATGTAGAATTTTTGGAAAATTTAGTATGCATTGAGAACCACATAAATCGAACAATATGTAGGTACCTATGATTTCTGGGTCATCCAGTTATTGACAAGTGCAACCCACTGGTCAACAATTACACCGGGTGGCACATTGTTGCAATTAGTTTCCATGCTCTTGTGCACATCAAAATAAATTGATTTTAGATTTGACTTGTGTTGCCTCCATCTCTCTCCGAGGGTTCACAGTATCCATTTTTCCATGCGTAAAGGGTAAAGAAATCTCATCTGCACACCAATAGCAGAAGGCATATGGTTAAAAATTATAAGTTAGATATTAAAATTTAGCGAATAATATTATCGCATAACCACCAGAATTGCATACCTTTACTTGCTTAAGTATATCCTTCTTTTTTTTTTCTTCATTGGTGTTTCTTTCTTTCTTTCCTATTAGAAGTCTCCAGTCTTTGTAGCTCAAGCTACACAAGCACCCATTTCTAGCCACCGCGCCAAGAAATTTTCCTAGAAATCAAGCTTCTACTCCAATTGGCTGATCAAGTTCATTACATGCAACCACAATTCTATGACCTTTAGGAAGGTTCCAAATATCTTTCAGTTTGGTCCTCCCATGCTTTACTCTACCTTTAGTTTCATCTAGCCAACGGTACATTGCAAAAAATAAATATTCACTGAGAAAAATTGCAAGAAATCAGTTTATGTTAATTAGAATTGTAGGTTATGAGTTACCTTGGACATTAACCTCACTGTCAATCTGGTCTCCTCCAGCACTAGTATGAACTTCAGATGCTGCAACATTTTGTTGAGGGCTCTCTTGCCTACTATCTTGTTGTAACATATATTCATCATTACTTTGAATTGTGCGCTTTCTTGTAGTCACCATGTCAGCTGCACAACATCATCACTCCCTTTCCTTGAGTAACATCAACCCATTCACATTTAAACAACACCACTGAGAATCTTCCATAATACTCTAACTCAACTATATTAAGTATCCTTCCGTAGTAGGTAATATCTCCAAGGATAGGGTTAGTATCCCCTATAGAAGAATAACTTAATGTTTTTGCAGTCACCTTGTCATAACATTTGGCTCTAAATCTAAAACCATGGATGCTAAAGGCTCTGTGTCTTCTTGCTGCATCCAATGGGCCACAAGCCAACCATCTAATGTCCTCATCAATGCTATCGCAACCATTTTTTTGTTCCAACTGCATCATCTGTATGATCACAAAATATACTTAAGTCAATTTTTCCTATTTTTTAAGAAAAAACAAACCCTGATACCTACATGTTGTTTGAACCAGTCAGGAAACTCTTTATTTTGTATATTCTCAATTTGTTTCAAAGATAGATGACGTTGACGATTTCTTCTTTTGAGATTAGAGGCATGCTCTCTAAAATGGAAATTAACATGGATTCAGTTTTAAAGGAACATATGTAATATGTTGATAGGTGTTAGTAACACTTACTTCAAGTACAGAATGATAGCTTCACAATTGTATAGTACATATCTATGTGCTTGCAGTTTCTCTAGATCGGTTAAAATAAAACTGGATGGTCTTCCCAATGGTTTTCCTATAGGAGGAAACAAAGAGGAATCATGTCCATATAAGTTAGATTCAAGATGATCCTAGTTCTCATCATTCCTTGATGGTTTGTTATGCTTTGTGGAGAAACCTTCTAGGTACCTAGAACAAAACACCATACAATTATCTGCCAAAAATGAATTTGCCATTGAAGCCTCTGGATGAGCTTTATTGTGAACATATGACTTCAGTTTACATAGGTACCTACAACATATGAAAAAGCATCAATTTAGTAGGTTATATATAACAAATGATCCAAGCAATGAACTTGTATTAGTTAGACTCAGTACCTTTCAATGAAGTACATCCATCGATAGCAAATTGGTCCACCCATCTTACATTCAGTTGCTAAATGTACGACTAAGTGAACCATAACTGTAAAAAATCCAGGAGGAAATATCATCTCCATTTTGCATAGTGTAATTTTTTGATTGATTATTCCAAACGGTCAAGGTCATCAACCCAAAGCACTTTCGAACATATTCCTCAAAAATAAGCAGACAACTCAAACATTACTGCTTTGTGATATCATCTGGAATAATGCCCCTTAGAGCAATAGGCATGAGCTGTTGAAGTAGAGCATGGCAGTCATGTGTTTTGAGACCAATAAGTTTTCCTTCAGCACAATTTATAGATTTTGATATGTTTCCAAAGTAGCCATCGGGAACTTTTATGTCTCGAAGCACTTTACAAAATGTTTGTCTCTCACTTTTAGACATAGCAAACCTTGCAGGTGGCAAGTAGAACTTGCCTGAAGGTTTTTCTTATGGGTGGAGGTCCTCCCTAATGTTCATCTCTTTGAGGTCTTGACGAGCTTGTAAATTATCTTTTGACTTTCCATCTAAACCAGATAGTGTACCATAACAATTTTCAAACACATTCTTCTCTATATGCATCACATCAAGATTGTATCGAAGAATATTATCATCCCAGTAAAGCAATGTGAAAAGACTACTTAATGCCTTATAAGTTTTTGACTCCTTGAAATCACCTAATGTAGTGATTTCATCCAAAATTGGATGGTCATAATAAGTTTGAGGCTCTGTTCCAAGCTCCACTGTTCCATCAAATGAATTCTCATCTAAACAAAAAGGATGGTCAAGAGGAAGAAATCGACGATGACCCATAAAACAAGCTTTGCGACCATGCTTCAGACATTTGGTCCATGCATTTTCACCACAAGGTGGACATGCAAAATTTCCATGAACCATATGACAAGCAAGCATTGTAGGTCACTAATGGTCACTAGCACTGCTGCTCTCAAATCAAAAGTTTCATTTCTTGATGCATCATATGTTGGCATACCATTTTGAAATAAATCTTTTAGGTCCTCCAAAAGTGGTTTAAGGAACACATGAATTTTGTCCCCAGGACTAGTAGAACCAGGAATTATTAAAGACAACATTAGATAATGTTATTTCATGCAAAACCATGGAGGTAAGTTATATATTACCAAAACAACTGGCCATCAACTATATCTAGAACTCAACATCCCATATGGATTAAACCCATCGATAGCTAAGCCAAATCGAATATTCCGTGGATCTGACTTAATTTGTGGAAACTTTTCATCAAAGTCCGTCCATGCTCGGTAGTCAGCTGGATGTCATAGTGCACCATCCTTGATGCGCTCTTCATCATGCCATCTTAGGAGAGGTGCTATTTCTTTGCACATAAACAATCTTTTTAGCCTGTCTTAAATAGGAAAGTATCTTAATACTTTATGAGGCGTTGCTTTCCTTCTTTGCTTCTTTGTTAGTTTGGTTTCAGGTTCCATACCTTTCCACCTAGAAGCCTTGCACTTTGAGAAAAAATCATCATTTTCCTTGTCTTTCCAAAATAGTTCACAATCATTTGGGCACCCATGAATGCTTTCATAGCCCAAGCCAAATTTGGAAATAATTTTCTTAGCCTCATAAAAAATTTTGGGCAGTTCCTTTCCATTTGGAATAGCCTTCTGCAAAATACCAAGTAGATCACCTAATGATTTATCTGACCATTTGTTCATGGATTTTATATTGAACAAAAGCACAAGTAAAGTTAGCAGCGTTAATTCACATCCTATCCATAAAGGCTTTTTTTGAATCTTCAACCAATTTATAGAACTCTTCTGCTTCTAAATTTTGCCCGCTGATAGGTGGATTCGGAAGATTTGTGGTATCCGTCATAGGTATGTCATCATACATGTGATAAAATGCATCATGAAGCAGCTGACTCATGTTATCATGCCTTTCTTCATTCTGAGATTGTGGTTGTTCATCAACGGAGTGCTATACTGAAGGGTCACTATAAAAATCCCAATCTTCATAATTCTCAAGTATCCCATTGTAGACCAAATGTTCATATATTTCATCCCTGGATAGGAGACTAGTATGCGCGCATGTATGACATGGACAATAAATCTTGGTATCTTCGGGCTTATCTTCAAATGCAAATTCAACAAATCCTTCTACACTAGCTATGTACCGAGTAGAATCTTTAGGATAGCCCAAAAGAAGCTTGATGATTTTTAAATCCATTGTGAAATCATAAAAAGCTATTGCTGTATAAATAAATAGAGGTTGTAAGTTCAATGCTAAGAATCGCATATAGCAACTTGAGCATTACAAACACTGTGGTCATATGCTATGACTGAATTTTAACAGTAATGCTTCAATAAAGAGCTAGCAGGACACAATAGTCAAGTTAGTGAGGGCAAGCATGACCCTTGATTTCGATTTAATTAATTGAATGGAGTACTCCCAGCTCATGATTCGGGGTCAAATTGCACGATCTCAACGACAAAGAGGGTGTGCTTTGTAGGTTGATTGGCTTAAGCAATTGGAGACTTGAAGACATACGCATCGCCTGCTGCTCAACGCTCACATTCGCTATCTCGCCGATGGCCGCATCCGCCACTGCTGTCGTTGTGGTGTCGCACAACTTGCACGGAGCCATGAAGAACACGGAGAGGATGGGGCGACGCGGCACCGATAGGATCACAGGGGCAGATGGGGTACCACACCATGGCACCACACAGAGCGGCAAAGGCCATTGTGGTTGGGCTAGGGGCGGTGGGCAGGGTCCCACACCAAGGCACCATGCAGAGCAGCGGCGACCGTTGTGGTTAGGCTGTAGACCCTAGGGAAACCATGAAGAGGGTTTTGTTCTGCTCACATCTGTTCTTAAATAAAAGAATTAGTGAATCCAAGTTGGACAAAATAGAGTTCAGCTCAGTTGGTCAGCGTGAATAGGAGGCATGTAAGAGGTCAGTTGTTCGATTCTCGTTGAAACTAGGTCTTTATTTTGTTGTTGTACGCCAGTACCTGGTGATATAAATTTTAAAAAAAACTAAAAACACGGAACTTGTTACGCCGATAGTTGGTGACACCAGTAGCTGGTGGAGGGAAATAGAAAATAAAAGAATAACAGTAGAAGGTGGGGGAACTAATAAAAAGTAATAGAGCACACGGTGAGCCGAGGGGCAGAAGATGCTACCGTTGGAACACTTAAGATACGGATAACCTATTCCTAACATTCACATGCGTTGTTGCAGTGTTGCTGGCAACACATAAATTAAACGTTGGTGGGTATCCGTTGTTAAATGGGGGTTTGTCTAGTAGTGATAGCTCATCTATGAAAGTCGTCTCCACATATAGGGTGAACTGTACCTCTTCATAATCTACTCTGATGGCCTGCTCAGAAGATGTGTATCGATGGAAGAAGGCATCAAGATCATCGAACGATGCCACTCATCACCATATGGAGGACATTATGGTTTATTCCACACTCATTCAAAGATCTAGTAAAGTGGATTTTTAGGCCAACCATGTATGAAGACATGAAGGACTTTATCCGGAGGTGTAGAGTGTGTCAGAGGCACGGAATATCAATTCAAGACATTCCATGCCACTCACCAACAACCTCCAGATCGAGCTCTTTGATGTCTAGAGAATCGACTACATGGGACCATTTCCAAATTAAAGAACTATGAATACATCTTGGTGATAGTTGACTATGTCTCCAAGTGGGTTGAAACCATGCCAAGCAGAGCTGCTGATGCTAAGAACTCCAAAAAATGTTTGAAGAGACAATATTTCCATGATTCGAGTTTCGAGAATGGTGATTAGTGATGGAGGCACTCACTTCACTAACAAGTTCACAACTACTTGTCAAAACATAGGATCTATCACAATGTTGCTACTCTATACCATCCTCAGACAAGTGGCCAAGCAGAAACATCAAATAAACAAATCAAGAACATTCTACAAAAGATGGTCAACGAGATGGGGACTACATGGAAGGATAGACTACCCGA